AGGGAAGGCAGCTAGTCACTCACCACCCACCACCACTTGGGCTACTCTTTACCAATGAATAGTGGGATTGACCGTCACATTATAATGTCTACACGGCTGGAAGGGCGAGCATGTTTGATGGAACTGGGATTTGAACCCACGACCCGCAGATTGCAAGTTGAGCGCCCTAACCACCTGGCCATGGCAGGCCCATGTAGTAGTTGCATTATTATTATTATTATCTAATTAGGTCCTAGTAAGATTCTATCCTCCCACCAACACTGAACATTAAAGTCTTAAAAACTATTTCTGGCTTATTAAAATCGTTATTGTACATATGTACATATAATATCATCTGTACATATGATACTCTTCAGTTCATATGCACTTTAGTATGCACTCTTAGAATAATAAGTAGTAAAACATTCTATAAAAGATATAATAAACAATAAACCATGGAAGCTTATTTTTTTTAGGAAAATGAATGAAGGGAAAAAACCAGTAAAACAAACAAGGAAAATAAAATAAATCTGTATATTTTTTCTAGACATAATTCTACAACATAACTAATAGTTAATACCTTTTCTTTCATTTCTTCAACGTTTTCTTTCAGAGATAAAGTAACACTATTAACTGGTAAACCTCTTTCAAGCTGTTGAATGGTTTTAAGATACTCTGTTGTTTGTGTTGTTAGATGCTCTGGGTTAATTATTTCAAATTCACACTGTTAAAAATAGTCAAGAAAAAAAAATCAGAAACTGGACAGATGACATTATATCATCCAAGTCAACATTTCAACAAACCTAATTTCAAAGTATTTCTTTTGTCACTTCTCCATCTATTACAGAAAGCAAAAAAATATTCAACAAAAATTGCACTTATCTACAACTCATAATTATATGGTACATTATAACTTTAAAACAAAAGGTAAAAATATCTGTAACACAATTGATTGTTAGTTTCAGCTAAAGTTAAAAATTAATTGTAAAGAAAAAAGTTTTATAAAATGACAAGTATAAAATTTTAAATTAAAAGTTTCAATATAATATTCATATTCGTATTGGATTAAATAATAATAACAATAATATCCATATTTACAAAAAATAATGGGTCAAGTATCACACCCCAAATTCTAGCACTGCATATCTTTAAACTTACTGCTGACCACTGGGGGTATACCTTTTATTGTGTCTCTTTTTTTCATAAACAATGAGATATCCTGAAATATTATAATCTTATTTCTTTATCTAAAATTGAATTGAATGAAAATAAAAGGCAGTGAAACAAGTTCTTTAAGATATGTCATTGGAAGTGATAATTAGATAAAACATTTTGCCTGAAATTGGTATTTTGTTCCTCATAGTCACTTAATAAAAATTATCTCATTAAAATATTATACATATAAACCTTACATGATGAGGTTCAAGTATACTACAAAATATATAAAAAAACTAAACCCAATCCAATTAATACCAATAATGTATAAAAGTACCAAATTGAGATTGATGTTATGGTATTTGAACTTTAGACACTAAATTGGCTTAACTTGTAAGCACATTCCAATAAAGAACTTACAAGACATAAAAATATTCTTAAAAATACAACAAAGTTTAAACCTCTCTCCATTCTTGCATTAAAGTGTTCCAGGTAAAGAAAGAATTCCATAGCAACTGCTTTAGATGAAGTTCAGATACTACTTTTTCCAATTCTTCAAAGTGGGTGACTTCAAACTGCAGCAAAAGTTTTACAAGATGTTAAAAATTTAGAAACTTTCATACAAACTACAACATGCAAGATACTTAAGAGCTAAATGAAAAGCTTCTAAAACATTTGGGTTAGATAGAATACCATATTATTGTCTGTATTAAAATGATTGGGAATATTTCTCAGCCTTTACTTTTATCATTTTATAGCTTAATCAAATGTAACACAAGTAATCCAAATGTAACACAAATAATCCAAATGTAACACAGATAATCCAATCATTATATTCTACTTCTGTCCAGTTGCTTTCCAAAGCGATTATGATGGAATAACCCAGAAAACATCACACAAAATTCTATAAATAAAGAAAAAAATGGGCAGTATTCTTTTGAATGTAAGAGTAGAATTGTAGAAAAGGTTGTGACATGTCACAGATCAGTATTTTCAATTTTAATTCAATAATTTTCAGTGTCTTTTTTGTTTTCATTTGAAAAAAATAAACAAATGAAAAATACAATTAGAATAATTAAAAAAAACATAGAAATGAATAATTGTGATTCTTGCAGTTAAAATAAGTCTAATATGCTCTTATTAATCCTTCACACTATTATTTCGTCAGGGAAGTCTATGTAGTAGGTTTGTGCTTATAGCATTACTGAATGTTATTTAATAACTGTAATATTTATTTTGATCTGTTGGACTGAAGATTTTTGTGTAATAGAATGAGTTTCCAATAAAATATCTGGTAGATACATGTACATCTCATGTGAGTTTGTAAAGTTTCAAATTTATTTAAATAGAATGTAAATATGTGGTTTATATATATAAATGACCAAATTATTACATTATTACTGTACTATTAAATTAGTGCTTTACTACAATGATAGGGACTGGAATGCCAACCTCAGGAGGTAAGTTTATCTCACTTATCCCCAAGTGGTAGTACCTTATTTTCTTTTATATATATATATCTATTTATCTTTTTTCTTTCTTCTTCTT